CGAAGGTGACGGCCATTAACGCCTGTATCGAAGTGGATCTCTTGGGACAGGTGTGTTCCGACTCCATCGGCACCAAAGTCTACTCAGGTGTGTATAGCTTTTACGTAGATTTCTATGAGTTTGTATTGATTTTTGGTGTGATTTCTCAGGTTTTGGAGGACAGGTAGACTTCCTGAGAGGCGCCGCTAATGGTTTGGACGGCAAGGGAAAGCCTATTCTGGCGATGGGTTCGATCACAAATAAGGGAGAGTCGAAAATCGTGCCGTTCCTGAAACAGGGCGCCGGTGTGGTGACCACCAGAGCTCATCTCCACTATTTAGTGACCGAATACGGCATCGCAGAGCTGTTTGGCAGGAATTACCGCCAGAGAGCCTACGCGCTCATACAGATCGCTCATCCGGACCACCGACAGGCGCTCGAGAAGGCGGCCTTCGAGCGGCTAAAATGCATGCCATCACCCGATTAGGCGGCGCCCACTCGTCCGGCACCTGTCGTTGTTATTGTAATAAATTAATTATTTTAGGTTTTATGTCAAAAGTTGTGCACAAAATAGGTTTACCTTTTAGTTCTGACCCTTAATTGTAGTCCAAATTGTATTTTCCAATTAACTCTTGTGTCCAATACTGTAGTGATAGATATACTGACAATTAGATAGGCTTTCCATTTGATACGACTAGAGATCTGTCGCACATCTCTTTGATATGAATTATACGATACTTTTTGTTCACATTTTTTTGGTCTCCCTTTTTATAGCGACTATTAACTGAGAAATTGAGATATTTTTCGAGTATTAACTATAAGTTACTGTATTTTCTTGTGTATAATTGACTGTAAATTTAATTTGTCACTTCAGTTGGGGGTGTATTTAGGAGGTGCTGTACCAGTGTTTTTGCTCACATTTAGGTGCCGGTACACTTTTAGGTAGTTTTTCTGAAATTATGGTTAATCGTAATGACGGTAAAAGCCTTTAAATTAAAGAGATTTCCTATAAAAGTAATAATTATGCCATAAATTGAAAGTCAATTACTACACAAAGAAATTAAATGACAAAAAAGTAATAAAATTAGCGGTAATTGTAATAAACATTATGTTTATATTGAATACAGAATTTGAACAAAAAATTTATGATCTTTTTTGATAGCAATTATAATTAATATAATGTTTTCTAGTATTTTAAACGCAATGCAAATGAGTTATAAATTATACTGTAATTTGAATTTTTAATTGATTATTTTGTTTGGCTCCCTAACTATTAAATTTACCCCGACAACTTGTTATGACATTATTTTTTGCCTACAAATTCATTTTACTATTAAGTTTCGTATGTTTTCTCGCTTTAAATTATTTGTCAAAACTTTAGTTTTAAATATGATTTGTAATGAAAATCGCAAACAAATAAAATAAAACACTTTTAGTGGCGATAAAATACCTGGTACAATTGAAATACTAATACAGTAATTGTATCTCGGAAATTAAGTTTATAATTATATATATGTTTCACTGATTATTAAATAATCTCGAAATGAATAAAAAATGGTTTTTTGTAAACTTTAAAAGTTTTAATCAATTTATTTACTGTTAAATTATATTTATTTAATGCCAAGGGGTGTATAAAACACGTTAACACCGTTACGTTATATAATTTGTAACAGTTTCTATGAGTATAGCATTGAGTTATAATAATAAATAACGTTACGACTTATGAAGGGGTGAATGAGTGGTAATAAGCGTTTAGTTGTACTGATAGGGGTGTGATTTGTGGGTTATTTACGTACTGCTATCTATGACTGGGTGTGTATTGCATGTAAATAAAACCCTTTGAGTTCAACAGAAAGTGAATCGACTTTTCATTTGGCATTCAATTGATTGACAGAAATCTCATTGAGTTTTGAATCGCATTACCATTACGTGTGATATGTCTTGGGATCAGTTGATGTGATGTCTGCGGCCACCGACACGATGGTAACCATAACAACAACACCGGCAGACACTCATGAGTGCAATAAAGTGCCAAAATTGCCGCCAAATG